TGTGTTTGTGTCACGTTGCGTATTACTGCTTACACCAGGAAACTGCAAAAGTTTAAAGTCTATAACTTTCAAAAAAAATCAAAATCCTTTCCATGTTTCACTTTCTACAACTAAAAATTATACGAAAGAAACCCGACTACTGACAGCATTTGCCAAGAGCAAACAATCGTCTGGGAGAGCGTCGAAAAATCCTTCTTTAAAAACAATCGGTGGCCCAGCACTGATTTCCCATCAACTTATCATCGAAACGAATGAACAAAAACAGATCTGTCCTCTCACTAACGGGGAACCGAACCAAACAGCACTGAATTTCAACGTAAATGACGTCGGCCGTTGCTCCAAGCTTACCGGCTATCACTGAGATACCGATGCTTCTTTATGCAAAATTTACGATGACTTACGCTAATGAATGCACAAGCTAAATGTAAGGCAAAAACCATTCAAACAGTTAATGACCCGTCTGCTCCGTGTACCAGCACGTGGAAGTTTTAGCAGGAAAATTGCTAACTCGGGAACCAGAAAAGCCGAAATGTTTTAAGGAGATGTTCCTCCAACCACTGCAACTTAAAGCTTTTCAAATTCAGTCTCCTGACTGCAAAAACGCACCGGCAAGCCTGATATGTGCCAGATCAGTACCTGTTGCATTTGGCTGTTCGCTGGTGCAGCTGTTGTTACTGTCATCTGTTGCTGGGGCGGTAAATTCGAAGACAATGTCGATTTCGAAGCCGACATTTGACCGGCTGCTGCTGCCGCTGGCGTATTCATTTGTTGTGTTATAACATTACCATGTGGTAAAGGGGGAGGGGGTTGCTGCTGATTTGCTTGCTGCTGCTGCTGTTGCTGTTGTTGTTGTTGTTGCTGTTGCTGCGGAGACATCGTCGAATGTTCCAACATATGAGGCATCATCTGCAGGGTAGAGAATTGCACTTAAATCTCTTGAGCACATTCAAAAATTTGCTTTTTTTTAGAATCTAAACATGCGGGATCCTTTTTTTGGTCCATTTTTGTCCAAAAATCTAAGTTCTTGCAATCCATAAATCCCAAATTCTCCAATTTCACACAATTTTGAATATGATATGAACTTCAAAGCAAACTAAAATGAAAAATGAGTAAGTTAAAACCCTTCCAAAATTTTATTGTCTTTGAGAAAGCGTGACAATCTGGAGTTGTCAAGAGCAATCGCTTACTCCAACAAGGCTGTCGGCGATACTCTTTTCCGAAGTTTACTTAAAAAGTAAGCTGAAAATGGCCAATAACTGACCAGAAGATAACAAGCCTCCAACCATCAAAATAGCTGAAGAACCTGTTGTGGTATTAAGGCGTGTATGACTTAATGGACCGGAACGTCTTATCTCATTCTTATCTCCTCCTCTCATACTGTGTTAGCTAACGCGCTTACTCCAGTTAGGCTTCCAGGACCAGCCTGGTTGCTATAAATCTGCTATAACTTTGTTGTATCATTCGAATTCTATTAAACATGCAATTTCTACTAATAATAAGAATCTGAGAATTGCTAAAAATCAAATTGAGGACTTACTGTACTACTTTGCTGCATTGGGGTTGGTGGTGGAGCATTCGGCGCATTTGCGTAGGGCATTGGTTGTGTCCTGGCAACCATATGTCCTTGCTGCAACTGAGCATAATTTGACGAAGCCTGAAATCAGAAACGATCAGAAACGAAAGAAATCAAGTGCTGCATAACGCCCAGTAAAAAAACACCGTCAATAGAATGCAAAAGTAAGGTATAACTAGATCTGACGCACTTTCCAGCCTGATTTAATTCTTTAATTTTATGTCACTTTTATTAAATTTTGTGCTAATTAACCCAATTTAATGCTTTTTTTAAGTTAATTTCCTGTCCCCTTTATTAAATTTTGTGCTACTCTTGTGAACAAAAGAACTACGTCGAAGGACGATTAGAGAGGGGCTAGGGATAATGAAAATTGAGTAACAGTTAAAATCCCGCAACCTCTCGGACTCGATTTTTTTGGCCCAATACCACATGCCTAAAATATTCATTTTCTTGGACAATAATAGTACATATTCTGCCATTTTTTAAAAATCATTGCCTAATTTAATCGATTTTCAAATTTCATCAAGCAAGCAAAAACTCCTGGCTTTTCCTCGATCCTCCGTTTTTTGAAAATAAACAGAAGCACTTTTTAGTCTCATTTGATTCGAAATTATAGTTTTAGCAAGAAATTAAATAGCTAAGAAGCCAAAAAGATGTCAGACAAATTGTGCAGATCAAAGATTAAATCAGTGGTGGTGGGTCGAATTTGCAGCATCTCCAAGAAGTCAAAACGAGTCATAGAACTGGTTATTTAGTGACGATGAAAAAAAATTATTCAGTTTTAATCTGAAAAAAAATTTTTCTACTGAAAAATCCCGGTAAAAACACAGCAGGGGGCAAGAAAAAAAAAACATACACCGGTTTGCGTTTGCGGTATCCCGTATGGATCGGATGTACGTTGCATCGTGGTGCCGGCACCTGCTGGCACTATGTAGTTGGCCTGATCGTACGGTGAACCCTGTTGAATCATAACAGCCCGCATCATCTGTCCACCACCTTGCTGCATTGTTACCATGCCTGTAAAATTCATCGTACGGTTA